TATCTATCTATCTCTATATATATCCCTTGTCATATTGTAATATATGCTAATAAAAGAAAACACTGAAAGGATATTATTGTTTCACCTTACATAGAAAATGTAAGTTCTATTACTTATTACAATAAAACTTGAGTCTTAATATGTGTGATTTTGGCTGAGCATTTTTATTTTGTAACCGCATAACCTGCAATACAATTTGAGAACATGAACGCAAGTTGCAATTATTATGAAACATTTATTTCATTATTGATCCTTTTTATGAAATATAATCAGACAATATTTTTGGTGCTGCAGTGAAAGTGTCATTCTTGCCTCAGGCCTTATGCTTTGTCACATAGAGTGTCTGTGCTGTCTTTTGTTTTCTGTGACCTTGGAGTAGGAGCTATTTTCTCTTGTCTGCTAGGTACAGTACAAGTGTTTTTCTGATTATGTATTGCACTGGATATAAGTACAACATACCACTCAGCTCGGAAAGTAATTTTAAAAGACCAAAAATGTGCTTATAGATGGCTTTATTTGCTTTATTTGTGTTAAATGAAGAATGTAATCTTTATTTTTTGTTTTGTCAATTTCACTGTCTTTTAAATGCTTGCTTGCATAATTATTTATAAAGATATTGAAACTTTACCAGCACAGCTGTCAAACTGGATAGATTAGGATCAGCTAGGAAATCTTTAGGCAGTCAGCCCCTTTGCTGCTTTTTTATCTTACTATATGCTGCTTTTTTTTCTTACTATGGGGGGATTTATTTATTGTGGTTGATTTGAGGTCAGCAGTCATGTTAAGCATGCTGTCCCATCCATAGCAACCATTTTTTTTCACTGCAAGACCTCCCCTCCCCCCCCTTAAAGAGATACAGGGATTTGTTTCAGGGGTGCATTATTTAGGGGTTTTCATTTATTATATGGGGTATATTGATTGTATTTTGTGTTGATGGGGCCTTTATTTTAGGTTGATTGCTTTTTTGGTAGAAAGACTTTTAATTAAAACAGCAGGCTTTTGTTTTTGTTCCAGTATTATGTTGGGTTTGTGCATTTATCTTGGTGATATATTGTTTTTCATTGTATGTTGATAGGCCTTTGTTTTTGTTTGTTTGTTTGTTTTTCAGCAAGGCTTAATTCTAAAATAGAAAGGAGGAATGGGCTTTTGTTTCAGGAGTGGTAGTTGGGGTTTTCATTTCCTTTAAGGGTTTCCTAATTTTTATTATATGTTCGATAGGGCTTTTTTTATGTTTTGGGTGCTCTAAGTGCAGCATTCAGTGGTTTTTGACCAGCTGTTCTTGTAACCACCTTTTGTTTTCAGGATGCCTTTGCAGCATTTGAAAGAAAAGTAAGTGGAAGAACAGTGTGTACCTAAAACACCTCACATTATATCACTCACATACAATTCACCACCTATCACCAAAGAAAAATAAAAGTTAGGCATACTCCAGTTAGACCTGTTATCCATGACTAAAGCTGTTCTGCAACTGGCCAATTTTTCACACTGCATCTTTTGCAGTATCTTCATTCTCATAGTAAATATAATAGCTGTGCTACTTTTTCTCTAGAAAATTAAAAAGCCTAAACTTTATATTTAAAATTGTTCTTCTGCTGTTTAATGGCTTTCTGTCTCCATCCTTTAAAAGAAGAAAAATACAATTGAAATACAATGGTTCTGCTGCGGACCAGTTTTACACTGCATAGCCTCTCCAGTATTTTAATTCCTGTAGTAAAACCCCTACCTATGTTCTTTGTTTCTAGTATATTTGGGCTTATAAATGCTATTTAAATTTGTCCTGCTTCTGGCCAATTTTGACCTACTATTTTACATTGGTATATCATTTGTGATCTCTGAGTTATTAATGAGAGTTTTAGAAAAACTCAATGGACACCTCTACAGCATGGGGCTCCCCTTAAAGTGATTCTAAAAGGCTTACATTTTATTTTTTAAATAGCAAACATGTCATACCTGCTGTGTGCAGTGGTTTTGCACAGAGCAGCCTGGATCCACCTCTTCTCCTTGGCCTCTCCCTCCTGTCGAGTGCCCCCACAGAAAGCAGCTTGCTCTGGTAGCACCCAAGCATGCACACTCTCAAGCTGCTAATCCGTGTATCTATTCACAGATGGAGCTGTGAAACAGCCCAGCCAAGCCCCCTCTCTTCTCATTGGCTCACTGGATGTGATTGACAGCAGTGGGAGCCAATGGCTCCCACTGCTGTCTCAGCCAGTGAGGAGACGGAGTCCTAGAATAGCCCCCAGTGCACATCGCTGGATTGGGAGGGGGCTTAGGTGAGTATTAGTGGGCCCTGGGGGGATGCTGCACAGAGAAGGTTTTTTGCCTTCATGCATAGAATGCATGGAGGTAAAAAAAACCTTGAGCCTTTACAACTACTTTAAGTTACTATCCAGGCATGCAGGCAGACATCTCCAGGTTCCACTATAACTTGGGTGCAATTTTAAGAGGAAGCCCATAACTTTTTTTTTTTTATTGCAATATTCAAACAGAAATGAATCAGGTTGGGTGCTGCTGCATGTAAGTGTTTTAATGCTCATTTACACTGCAGCTGATAAACTGACATTCAGGAGCTTTTCTGCGTTTTTTCTGAACTCTCCCTAATGTTTTCCAATGTGTCCATGTACACATAGTTGTTTACAGGCAGTTGAGTTTACAGTCGTTTTTTTGAACGCACCAAACTTGCATTCAGGAGTAGATTTTACCGGTGTTTCAAATGCCAAGCGCTTGTAAACGTGGTTAACCGCGGTTACAAGCGTTTGCGTTTAGACACGTTTTTTGACAGGTCCATATCCAGATGCTGTCCAGAGCCTTTTTTCTTCATCAAAAATGCATGCAAAGCGTTTTCTATGTATTAAAATGGACCTGGTACACTAGTGCAGTCAGTTGCAGGTTTTACATGAAGGAAAAAATGGTAGAACGTGCTGCATTATGCTCATGATGGGATCCATAGTGAATACAACCAGAAAAGACAGGTAATCTCAACACATACTGATCTCTCTACTTCTGCTTTCTCTATTCCTCTCAAAAAGTCTGAAATAATTAATTATTTACTATTTTTCATTGCATTCAGAAGAGTTTTCCAAACACCCTGTGTACATGAGCCCTTAGATTTGCAAATGAAAGCTTTGTTGCAGCTGTGTTGCTGACCATTTTCTTTTGTTCTGTTGCAGTCTTCTTTCTGTTTCTGTGTCTTGCACTTATATGCTGTAGCTGGCTATGACTGGGCCCATAACCTGTCAGAAATTCTGTATATAGCCCTGCAGAACAGACAGTGCACAGTCCACATGTTTTTCTGCTTCATTGCAACAAGGAAACAGGAAACTATTCAGAGAAAAGACAGAGTTTTACCATAGATGCAGCTACAAACTTAACTTACTTACACTGCCATCTACTGGTTGAAGAACATACTGTATCTCTACTGAATACTGATGTAGTTGTAGCACAAATACATGAACACTGTATTCTAACAGTAAGCCAAGCAAATTGTAAAACAAAAATGTATGTATCCTGCGGACACAGTTGATCTCAGATTGCGATAAAGGGCCAATCACAGCGGTCCTTTCCCATGTGATAAGCTGTGATCATATTGCAAATAGACATGCTGGTTGTCGGCAGTCCTTTCCTCACACTATTACAGCATAAGGAGAGGAGAGCCGGTAACCAGCGATTGTGACAGGGGATGTTTACACAGATTATCAGTGCAGCGCAATCAGTGCCCATCAGTGCTGCCTGTCAGTGCCCATCAGTGCTGCATATCATTGCCTCCTCATCAGTGCTGCTTATCAGTGCCCATCAGTGCTGCTTATCAGTGCCCATCAGTGCCACCTCATCAATGTCCAACAGTGCAGCCTATCAGTACCCATCAGTGCAGCCTCATCAGCACACATCAGTGAAGGTGAAAAAATCACTTATTTGCAAACGTTTATAACAGAAAAACTTGTTTTTCGTTCAACATCTTTGGTCTTTTTTCATTTGTTTTGCATGACTGTGCAATTGTCATTCAAAGTGCAACAGCACTGAAAGCTGAAAATTGGCCTGGCCAAGAAGGGGGTGAAAGTGCCCGGTATTGAAGTGGTTAACCACTTATTTATCAGGGCATTTTTGTATTTTGTTGTTAAAATCTGCATTTTTTTTCTTGCTAGAAATTACTGAACTCCCCCTTCTCCCCCCCTCCCCACACACACACACAAAAAAGTACATATTTTCTGAAAGCAGAGACCCTGGAGAATAAAATTGTGATAGCTACAATGTTTTTTATGTTGTGCAATATCTGCAGTTATTTGTCAAACACATTTTTTCAGGAAAAAATATGTTATAATTTTAGTACAAACAGACACAATATTATACCCAAATTCTGTAAAATGTAAAAGATTGCATTGAGTAAATAAATACCAAGCATGTCCAGTCTTAAAATTGTGCAAGCACGTGGAATCGCAAAAGATTATGGTACCCAAAATTCTCCATGGGACGACAATTTAAAAGTGTTTTCAGGTCATCAGTTAGCGTTAACCATGAACTATGGCCCTATAATTATTGCTCTCACTTTCATGTTTATGGTGATGACTCACATGTGTGGCACAATGTTTGCCCTACACTGCACTTCATTTATAGGGTGTGTGCAGGATGATGGAGGTGCTTTACATTAATTTTAAATATTTTTATTTATTTTTACAATTCTTTAATTTTTTTTTCTTTAATTTTTGCTTACACTTTATAAGAAAAAAGGAAATAAAAATACATTTTCATTTTCTTTCATCATTTTTCAAAAAAACTTGTGACAACAAATGAGATCTGCAAAATACTCGCCATGCCCCTTAGCAAATACCTTGGAGTGTCTATTTTTTTGGGGGGTGTTTGTACTATCCTGGTATTTTAGGGCCTCTGAAACTCTGATACATAGTCAGGAAATCAAAAGTTAAGCCCTTTGAAAGCCTGAAGGTGCTCATTAGATTTTGGGCCCCCGTGCGCAGCTTACCGTATTTTTTTTGCTCCATAAGACGCACCTGACCATAAGATGCACCTAGGTTTTAGAGGAGAAAAAACAAGAAAAAAAATGTTCTGAATCAATGGACTGCAGACACAGTACAGGAGATGACCAGAGACTGTGGACACAGTATAGGAGATGACCAGAGACTGCAGACACAGTACAGGGGATGACCAGAGACTGCGGACACATTACAGGAGATGACCAGAGACTGCGGACACAGTACAGGAGATGACCAGAGACTGCGGACACAGTACAGGGGATGACCAGATACTGCGGACACAGTACAGGAGATGACCAGAGACTGTGGACACAGTATAGGAGATGACCAGAGACTGCGGACACATTACAGGAGATGACCAGAGACTGCGGACACAGTACAGGGGATGACCAGATACTGCGGACACAGTACAGGAGATGACCAGAGACTGCGGACACAGTACAGGAGATGACCAGAGACTGCGGACACAGTACAGGAGATGACCAGAGACTGCGGACACAGTACAGGAGATGACCAGAGACTGCGGACACAGTACAGGAGATGACCAGAGACTGCGGACACAGTACTGGGAATGACCAGAGACTGCGGACACAGTACAGGGAATGACCAGAGACTGCAGACAGTGCAGGAGATGACCAGAGACTGCAGACAGTGCAGGGGATGACCAGAGACTGTGGACCTTTGGGGAGGGAGGGGGAACGGGTACCTGAATTTGACAGGTACCCGCTCCCACTTCTACGGAGTTGTCCTTCCTTCTTCTTCCCGCGGCGGCTGCTGTGACAGCCGGGTGCCCACTGCGCATGCGTGAGAAGCGCTGCGCTTTGTGAATGGCCCGGAGCCTTCTGGGACCTGTCATGTGTCCCAGAAAACAAAGTGCAGCGCTTCTCGCGCATGCGCAGTGGGCACCCGACTGTCACAGAAGCCGCCGCGGGAAGACTGGAGAGAGGAACAGGTAAGGTCCTGCAGGAGAGAAGAGCTGATCGGCTGGCCCGATATTCTGACATGGTGGCGGCAGAAATACCGGACCAGCCGCTTTACATTCGCTCCACTGACATTTTCCCCCCCTTTTTTGGGGGGAAAAAAGTGCGTCTTATGGAGCAAAAAATACGGTAGTTCCCAAAAAGTCTCACAAATGTAGTATCCCCATACTCAGGAGAAGTAGCATAGTATGTTTTGGGGTGTAATGCCATGTAAACTGATGATGTTTATGAGAAATATCTCAGTAAACTGACAACTCTGTGTAAAAAGAGAAATTTTCAAGGACACCAGACTCTGTGAATTTGGACCATCGTGTCTGGGTGAATGGAAAACAAAATACATCACATTTGTCTTTTCATTTTACTGCTAGTAGTTATTCATTCTGCAAGCCAGCTTTCTCCTCCTTTCTAAGTGGGGTGTTAAGGAGTCGTTGGGGGAAGCCTCTGCTTGCATAAAAGTTGTCCACGTACAAATGGTACCTCCCCATATAATCTGGGCGTGCATGGGGTTTCATAAAGAGAAAAGAGGTGGCGCACACACGTAGTGCATTATCCAAGGTTTATTGTAAAGAGTAAAAAATAATAATAAAAACATACTCACAAATGAAGCATGTATTTAAAAAGCATAGAAAAATGACGATGGCCACAACGGCAGGCAAGGTGTCCTCACTGTCAGTGCGGTCAAATGACTGATGTGTTTCGGGGACGAATCCCTTTCCTCAGAGCTAATGACCAGCCTCTGATGCAGATGTGTAGTGGATGAAAAGTGGGAGCCTTGCTGGTGACTTGACAGTCTTTTCCCCCTCATACATTCTAAAGAGGAATGTATAGCCTGTGACCCTCTCACAGAGTTTATATATTTTGACCCCATATTTGACATGCTTGCTGGGGAGATATTGCTTGAATGCAAGCCTGCCAGTAAAATATACAAGGGACTTGTCTATGCAGATATTATGTTGGGGCTTATACACATCTACAAATTTCTGGGACAGGTCATTTATGAGAGGCCGAATATTGTGGAACTGATCATGGTCAGGGTCAGTCTGGGGACAACAGAGGAATATTATCTCATATCTTTTCCTGGCCATTGCAGCAGAGAACATGGGTATATGATAAATCAGGTCTGTGGACCAATATGACTGCAATTCAATATTTTTTTTGTAAAGTCTATGTTGGGGTTAAGCCAAAAAAAGTTTTACATTCATAAACTGTGATAGGTTTCCCTTCAAATGGCCTGGCAAGGTATAAATTTCGGTTAGCGTTGATGTACTGTAGGGCATAAACATTACTTTGGTCCACAATCAAACTATAGAGGTCTTCTGTGACAAACAGCTCAAAAAGTCAAGGGACATTGTGAAGTTGGCTGTTTCCACCTGAACCCCAGGCTGGGCTGTCAAAGAGAGGATAACAGGTATTGCTGAATCTGGGAGCAGCCAACTAGGGTTTGCAAGCACCCCTTGAAAGCTACTATGAGCTCTACAGGCCTTTGCTCGATTTCTTGGTGGCTGCAGTTGCATTACATTACTAGTGCTAGCCAATTCACCAGTTTGTACTGCACTGCTTGTGCTCACGGCTTCACCATGAAATATGCCAGTAAGATCACCAAAAAGTAGTGCAGTGCTAGTACTTGTGCCCTGCCGCATCTGAGCTTAATCGTGTGTTTCTAGCACTTCAGCAACATGATTTTACACCTAATTTTAGCAGGAACCTCTTCACCATCATCTGAGATAGCTGTCAGGGTGCCACTGTTATCTACAGGTTCAAATTCTGAGTCTGATTCTGAAAGTAAGGCCTCCCCTTTGCTCTCAACTGTCATGCTCAGAATCCTGTATGCCTCCTCACTAGTGTACTTTTTTTTGGACATTTTGGGTGCTAACTTTACAGGTACCTAGTGGCTACTGGGCTCCTGGCTAGCAATCAAGGGATCTCCAGCCAGCAGAGCAGCACTATTGGTAGGTTGCAGGGGAACAAAAGAGTTGCCAGCCAGCAGTAACAGTTAAACTACTGGTCAGCAAGTGCTTAAAGGACATTGGATTTCTGGAAAAGGTTTAGAGGCAGGCACTTTAAAAGTGATGAAATACCTTACAGTGAATGAATAGAGCAATTAAATAAATAGGACATCTTGGAGGTGGCTTAATGAATATGTTCAAATGATAACAAGGCCAGTAAAAAGATTTGGGGAATTACCTCTTTATCCTAAGGACTGTACAGAAAGAGGATATTTGCAGTAAGATTGGTTAAACTATGGAAAACTTTAACACATGAAGAAATAATAACAAAAACAATAATTAATACTGTAACTTAAAATAAAACAGGATCATTTTCTTGCAATAACATTTTCCAGAGTCATAGTTGTGAAAAGCTAAAAGACACTATTTTTAACCAGTGAAATGAGTCAATTCCCCTTGGTGGTTGATCTTGATTGACAATAGGCCTTCTTCAACTATGTAACTACAGTATGTAATATTACCATACAGGTGAAGTCACATGACATACTGTAGGTTTTTTATACATTCTCATTAAATAAAGATAATGTATTGGCCTTCATCTAATTTGTCAGAATTTTAATGGAACATAATTTAATCTGTGGAGTTGTATATTTAATTGAAATAGGCATTTTAGACTGTCATATTAGAACTGCTAATGCTATCCCCAATCCTGAACTCAGCGGCCAGACTCATCCACCTCACCAACCGCTCCACATCTGCCACCCCCTCTGCCAATCCCTTCACTGGCTCCCGATTGCCCAGCGCATTAAATTCAAATTACTAACTCTGACATACAAAGCCACTCAAAACGCTGCCCCAAACTACCTCACTGACCTGATACCCAAATACCACCCTACCCGTGCCCTTCGCTCCTCACAAGACCTCCTACTCTCTAGCTCCCTGGTCTCCTCCTCCCACACCCGACTGCAGGACTTCTCCAGGACTTCCCTCATCCTCTGGAACTCCCTACCCCAATCCATCAAACTGTCACCTACCCTCCTCACCTTCAGGCGCACCCTGCAAACCCATCTCTTCAGGGAAGCCTACCCCACCCTCACCTGACAACCGATCTCCTCCACTCCTCCTACCACTCCATCCCCCACAGCCACTTCCTCCTGTACCACTATCCCCTCCCTCCTAGATTGTAAGCTCGAAAGAGCTGGGCCCTCGAACCCCTCGTGTATTGTATTGTACTGTATTTTCTCATGTTCTGTCCCCCTCGCTAATGTACAGCGCTGAGCAAACCCTTTGGCGCTATATAAACACTGTATAATTATAATAATAACTGAACAGGTGTTTAAAATAATGAAGAATAATAAAAAGAAATTGCTATATAATTAATAAGAATCATTTTAATGTTTATTCTTTACTTTTTTCTTTCATATTTACTATAAAACTGTCCATGATTGGACTGCAAGCCAAAGATTTGTAGTGGGAGGGGCAGGAATGCATACTAGTGCTGGATTTGTTTTTTGGAGCGGAGGACTGAAGATTTTTGCTGGAAGGGTAAAGTGAGGGATGTTATTGGTTTCTGGGTATTTTGCACTCTCCTGTCCCCTAAACTGTGTGTCACACAACCCTGACTCCTGCACCCCTTCTAGTACAAATTCTCTTTCCTTCCACATTCCACCAACACAAAATCTCTTTTCCCTAACCCCCCCCCCCCCCTCCCCAGCACAAATTCTCCCTCCCCACTCCTCCGAGCAAAACAGCCCCCCTTCCTGGTACAAATCCTCTCCCCCCTGTCCCTCTTCTAACATCCCCCACAAAACAAATTCTTCTGTCCCCAATCTTCCATCTTGGCACAAATTCCCTCCCCTAAATTCCTCCTCCCAGCAAAAATCCTCTCCCTCCTTCCCAAATCCCCCCCAGCACAAATCCTCTCCCCAACTTCTAGCACAACCCCCCCAGACCCCCCCCCCCCCCCCCCCCCCCAATCTTGCTTCTAGTATTCTAGTACAAATGCTCTTCTCCCCCCAAATTCCAGCACAAATCCCCCTCTCATTCATCTCCCATTTCCTCTCAACCCTCCCCTTCTAGCACAAATCCTCTCCCTTCCCAAATCCCCCCCCCCCCCCAGCATATAAACTCTTTTACGCTCCCCCCCCCAACCAAATCACTCCTTTCAGCACAAATATTTCTTACCTCCCCCACTCCCACCCCCACCCCAGATTACCCTGCCCCCAGTGTAATTCTTCATCCCAGATAGATTGTAATCCTCCAAGTGTAAATTTCCCATCTCCAGTACAAGCCTCAGATCAATGTGGATCTATCCAAAGGGATTTCCCTTCTCCTGGGCTCCTCTTCCTTCTATTGTGGATGATAACATCAGAGCAGAGGAGGAGCCTACAGAAAGCTTCCCTTGGCTCTGATGTGTATTACTGTGAAAGGCAGCCTGAATCTCTACTAGCTGGCTGCGGGCAAGTGGGAGGGAACTAAAGAGTGATGATTAAATAGAATCTGTGCCTAGTCTCTGTATGCACTGCGCACACATACCACAGTCCTTGTACTCACAAAATACTCCTACTTACTA